AGTGAAGACATAATGTTTTCTGAGAAATACAATATTGTAGCAGCCGTACCATGCTGAATATACCGGTTCTCGTTAGATCACCGAAGTTAAAGCATCATTGAGCGCCAGTCAGTACTTGGGTGGGTGACCACCTGGGAGGCACCGCGTGCCGTTGGCAAATTTGGGACCTGAATGGCCGAGTGTCTAGCGCTCCGGCGGCTCGCTGCCACAGGTTTCGGGTTCGAATCCCGGCGGTGCGGGATGTTTGTAGTGGTTCGGAATCCACTTTAAGCCGTAGGTGTCCGGTCTTCTATGACTGTAAGAGCGCGTCACGGAGCCAAAAGTCAGGCTTCTACCTACGGGTGCTCCATCACAGCAGAAGCTGCCTTTTCTTCCCTTCAATCATGAGTCCGTATGGGCTTGTGGGCTTGACCAACCAAGTGGGATAAGAAACAACAAAACACAATATTTATTGTGAGAAATACAGACAGATATTTTTATGGAAGATAAAGTTTATTTCGATTTACTTGCTTAAATGTTGCCATATGCTCAATTGAAATACAGGTTCGTTGAAATTAAGGAAATAATTTAACGATACTATTTCGTAAAAGAAATTGAATTAAAAATATTGCTGTATTTGGATATTTTACTTTATTTATTTTCAGGAATGAAACTTTATCAAAAAACATTTTAATAAATGGAAAAATAAAAAAATATATTTATTAAAAACTTTTATTAAACATAGTAATATTTATTTTGCTTGAGCAGATAGAATGTTTCAAATAACTAGGATAATCGAAATGAAATAAAAATAGCAAGCACAAAATAATTAAAATATCAAAATTAAAAAAGAAAAAATGTTGTACAACCTATTTGAATACGTTAAAAGAATTAGAAAATAAAATAGTTAAAAAATAAAATAAAATTTGATTCTAAAAAATTGAAAATAAGATATTTTTTGTGTAAAAAATCGTGCATTATATATCTTTCAAAATATTGTATTAATATTAATTAAAATTTTAGTAAAGATTTTTATATAAATTATTTGGGCCTGATAGCCGAGTGACTAGCATTATAGCGTTCCGCACCACATGTTTCGGGTTCGAGTCCCTAGTCGGGCCAATGGATGTTTGCTGTGTTCGGAATCCACTTTAAACCATAGGTCCCTGTCTAATATGACTGTAAAGAGTTGGTGTAGCGCTGACAAATCTGCCTCGTAAAAAGTCAGCGTCACGGAGGTAAATCAGATTTGTAAAAGAATTTTATTTTCCATTTGTAAAAGGAAAAAAAAAATCTTTAAATTTTCTTCATCATCTAAGGCCATTATGTTACTGGTTAATAAACTATGGTCCAGTAGTATTTTCGAGACATATGGCATACCACTTGGCTGACCAAGCCCACGAGCCCATACGTACTCATAATTGAAGGGAAGGAAACAGCTTCTGTTGTGATGGAGTACCCGTAGGTAAGTCTGACTTTGGCTCCGTGACGCTCTTACAGTCATAGGTGACCGGACCTACGGCTTAAAGTGGATTCGAACCACTACAAACATCCATGGCACCGCTGAATCGAACTTGAAACCTGTCGCACCGAGCGCCAGACACTCGGCCATTCAGGTCCCAAATTTGTGAATGCCAACGGCACGCGGTGTTCCCAGATAGTCACCCACCCAAGTGACCACGCCCAATGATGCTTGGCTTCGATGATCTAACAAGAACCGGTATATTCAGCATGGTACGGCCGTTGGCTCCCGAAATTCATTATAATTTAAAATGTCCTTTCTATTGTAAAGAAATTAGTATATTTCGTTTTTGTAAAAGAAAAATTAAAGTTTTTAAATTTCTGCTATAGTCATTATCTTAAAGTTAAAACATCGTGGAATAAAATTCTAAGTAGTGGTGTAGAATTAATTTCGGGCGTGTTATATAGAACACAAAATTCTATATAAATTAAAATGTAAAGAAATCAATACTTTTCTTTCTATGAAAGAAAAAAATATCTTATTTTTTTTCTTCATTATCTAAGATCATTACATAGCTGGTAAATAACAACCTATGATCTAGAAGTAATTTTGGGAAATATTAAATTCAACACGAAATTAATTGTAAATTGTAAAGAAATTAGTATTTTTCCTTTTTGTCAAATACTTCCTTTACCATTTTCTTCATTATCTATGGTCAGTATCTTACTTGTAAAACATCGTGGAATAAAATAGTAAAACACTTATGGTCTAGAAGTAGTTTCAGGACATATTTTATGGAACATAAAATTCGTTATAAATTGTAAAGAAACTAGTATTTTTCCTTTTTGTAAAAAACTTCCTTTACCATTTTCTTCATTATCTATGGTCAGTATCTTACTGGTAAAACATATTGGAATAAAATAGTAAAACATTTATGGTCTAGAAGTGTTTTAAGGACATATTTTACAGAACATAAAATTCGTTATAAATTGTAAGGAAACTAGTATTTTTCCTTTTTGTCAAATACTTCCTTTACCATTTTCTTCATTATCTATGGTCAGTATCTTACTTGTAAAACATCGTGGAATAAAATAGTAAAATACTTATGATCTAGAAGTATTTTAAGGACATATTGTATGGAACATAAAATTCGTTATAAATTGTAAAGAAACTAGTATTTTTCCTTTTTGTAAAAAACTTCCTTTGCCATTTTCTTCATTAGAGAGTTTTTGCATACCGTATTTTGGACGTCCATTAGCTTTTTGTCTCTAGCGCACATGCCCATAGGAAAATGCGCATGCATATCTGTAATAATGTTTCCTATGAGCATGCGCCATAGGGAGAAAAAGCTAACGGACGTCCAAAATACGGTATGCAAAAACTTTCTCTATTATCTACGGTCAGTATCTTACTTGTAAAACATCGTGGAATAAAATAGTAAAACACTTATGGTCTAGAAATAGTTTCAAGACATATTTTATGGAACATAAAATTCGTCATAATTTGTAAAGAAACTAGTATTTCTCCTTTTTGTGAAAACAAACACTTTACCATTTGTCTTCATTATCTATAGTCATTATCCTACTGGTAAAACATCGTGGAATAAGATAGTAAAGAAATTATGATCTAGAAGTAATTTTGGGACATATACGGAACACTAAATTCAATATAAATAAAAAAATCCTTTATTTTGTAAAGAAATCAGTACTTTTTATTTCTTTTTGAAAAAGAAAAATAGGTTTATTTACTTTTTCTTACGTCATCTGAAACTCTTATCACCAGTTTTCCCCAACATTTTGTCTTACCATATGATTTCAGTTTTCACCACGACCTCCATAATCAGACCTCAGAGACCACTATCCAGATTCTTACTGGAGAACCTCTCACTTACTACTATAAACTTTCACTAATGTTACCCAGGAAGAACTGGAATGAATTTAAAGCTACGTCTTACTGTATACGGTTAAACCTGCAACGCTTAGTATTTTATTTACATGAGAAAAAAAAAGGGTTTTTTTTATGGTGAAAGCTCTTTAATGTGAACTTTAGGTCCCTTAAGGGAGAAAAGTTGTTAAATGTTTCTTTGCATTTAATTTGGGAAACCTGCAGTCGTTATAAAGAGACTTGAGCTTGGATTCAGGGGTAGTTGCATCGTATGCGAACATTAAAAAAGCCTGATATTAGGGAGTTTTTGCATACCGTAAGTTAGTTACCGTAGGACGTCCGTTAGCATTTTTCTCCCTAGCGCGCGTGCTCAGTTTCCTATGAGCATGCACGCTAGGGAGAAAAATGCTAACGGACGTCCTACGGTAACTAACTTACGGTATGCAAAAACTCCCTATTATTAGCAGCAGTTTTTAACGTAAAAGTTTGTGTTGATAATTATTATTTTGTACTGTGCATGCTGATATTTCTACTGATTAAACATCTTTCATTTTTTTTAATTCCTATTCATATTATGTTATGAATGCTATTACAGCATAGTTGAAATTAACAAGGCCATAAAATTTAAAAAAAATATCATGCAATTTAATCTCAGTAATTAATATGTTTTTTTGATTGAAATTTCACAATTTACGTTTTTTTTTTTTTTTTTTTTTTTTAAATAACACTATTTGTTGGGTAGTGACATTTCTAAATTCATTTTAATTTACATTATTTGAATTTGAACCGTATTCTTGTAATTAATTGAAAGAATTTCTTATATTTCCTGCTTTATAATATTAATTTACCAATAATTATTATTTTTCTGCTGTAGCGTCTCGGTCTATAATAGACTTATAACGGCATCAAGACGAGGGCCACTTTCCGGTTCATAGGAACACTTTAATTTTTATTTACAAACTATATATATATATATATATATATATATATATATATGTATGTGTATGCCATTATATTACCGGTATAACATCATTGAATAAAAAAGAAAAGAGAATTGTGGTCTAGAAGTAGTTTCAGGACATATTATATGGAACACAAAATTCATTATATATTGTAAAAAAAAAATAGTGTTTTTCCTTTTTGTAAAAAAAAAAGAAAGTTTATTTACCGTTTTCTTCATTATCTATGGTCATTATCTTACTGTTAAAACATCGTGGAATAAAATAGTAAATAACTTATGGCCTAGTAGTAATTTTGGGGCACATTATGTAAAACACGAAAACCATTATAAGTGAAAAAATCATTTCTTTTGTAAAGAAATCAATAATTTAATTTATTTTTTTTCTTGCAAAAGGAAAAAATAAGTTTATTTACTTTTTTCTTCCTCATCTTCAACTTTTATCGCCTGCTTTTTCCAACATTTTGTCTTACTATCTGATTTCAGTTTCGACCACGACCCCCGTAATCAGACCTCAGAGACCACTATCCAGATTCTTACTGGAGAACCTCTCACTTACTACTATAAACTTTCACTTAATGTTACCCGCGAGAACTGGAATGAATTTAAAGCTACGTCTTACTGTATACGGTTAAACCTGCAACGCTTAGTATTTTATTTACATGAGAAAAAAAAGGGGTTTTTATGGTGAAATATCTTTAATGTGAAGCTTGGGTCCCTTAAGGGAGAAAAGTTGTTAAATGTTTCTTTGCATTTAATTTGGGAAACCTGCAGTCGTTATAAAGAGACTTGAGCTTGGATTCAGGGGTAGTTGCATCGTATGCGAACATTAAAAAAGCCTGATATTTTTAGCAGCAGTTTTCAACGTAAAAGTCTGTGTTGATAATTATTTTTGTACTGTGCATGCTGATATTTCTACTGATTTAACATCTTTCATTTTTTTAATTCATATTCATATTATGTTATGAATGCTGTTACAGCACAGTTGAAATTAACAAGGCCATAAAATTTAAAAAAAATATCATGCAATTTAATCTCAGTAATTAATATGTTTTTTTGATTGAAATTTCAAAATTTACGTTTTTTTTTAATTTTTTTTTTAAATAACACTATTTGTTGGGTAGTGACATTTCTAAATTCATTTTAATTTACATTATTTGAATTTGAACCGTATTCTTGTAATTAATTGAAAGAATTTCTTATATTTCCTGCTTTATAATATTAATTTACCAATAATTATTATTTTTCTGCTGTAACGTCTCGGTCTATAATAGACTTATAACGGCTTCAAGAAGAGGGCCACTTTCAGGTTCATAGGAACACTTTAATTTTTATTTACAAACTATATATATATATATATATATATGTATGTGTATTCCATTATCTTACCGGTATAACATCATTCAATAAAAAAGAAAAGAAAATTGTGGTCTAGAAGTAGTTTCAGGACATATTATATGGAACACAAAATTCATTATATATTGTAAAAAAATTAGTGTTTTTACTTTTTGTAATAAAAAAAGAAAGTTTATTTACCGTTTTCTTCTTTATCTATGGTCATTATCTTACTGTTAAAACATTGTGGAATAAAATAGTAAATAACTTATAGTGTAGTAGTAATTTTGGGGCACATTATGTAAAACACGAAAACCATTATAAATGAAAAAAACATTTCTTTTGTAAAGAAATCAATAATTTAATTTATTTTTTTTCTTGCAAAAGGAAAAAATAAGTTTATTTACTTTTTTCTTCCTCATCTTAAACTTTTATCATCTGATTTCTCCAACATTTTGTCTTACTATCTGATTTCAGTTCCGACCACGACCTCCGTAATCAGACCTCAGAGATTACTAGCCAGATTCTCACTAGAAAAGCTCTCACTTACTACTATAAACTTTCACTTAATGTTACCCCTGAGAACCGGAATGAATTTAAAGCTACGACTTACTGTATATGGTTAAGACTGCAACGCTTAGTATTTTATTTACATGAGAAAAAAAAAAGAGGTTTTTTTATGGTGAAAGATCTTTAATGTGAAGTTTGGGTCCCTTAAGGGAGAAAAGTTGTGAAATGTTTCTTTGCATTTAATTTGGTCATCCTACAGTCGTTATAAAGAAGTTAAGAGTTTGGATTTAGAGGGAGTTGAATCGTAAGCGAAAATTTAAAAACCTGATATTTTTAGCAGCAGTTTTAAAGTAAAAATTTGTGTTGGTAATTATTCAAATTTTACTGTGTTTGCTAATATTTCCATTGATTTAACATCTTTCATTTTTGTTTGTTTTTTAAACTTTTTTGAAAGCTAATAGAGCCTAATTAAAATTTAAAAAAAGGAATTTTCATGAAATTTAAACTTATTAAATAATTGATTAATATTTTTTTCTACTGTAATTTTAGAATTTAAATTTTTTCAAATAACACTATTTGTTGCGTAGTAATATGTC